ATAAATGGGTTGATCATCGGGCTCGGTGCATACTGCATACAACTGAACTAATTTATCGTGGCGTAATTTTTTTATTATAACTGCTTCGTCAACGATTGTTTGCCTAGACACTGTACCTTCTTTTATCGTTTTTATAGCTACATCAGTCGTTCGATTTCATTTACCTATAAATACGTAAAAAGTAAACAAATATTATATAAAAATTAAAAATTAATTTTTCGATAGAACTGATCAAAACTTCAAACTCCAAAATAAATGTGCTGAATTTCTAGCCATTAAGTTATTTCCGATTCGTTAAAATTATACTTGTATCATATTTCTTCGACAGAAGTATATTAGTTAAAAACTACAGATAAAAAACTTTTTAGTGATAAATAAAGATACAGCAGATAGAAAAAAGACATTAAGCAAGTGTAATACCACACAAATATTCATTTCAAACATGCTTTTTTAGTGAATCTTTGTTTATTATGAATGAATACAATGCGAATTAAACTCTAATGTAGAGTTTAACACTTCTCCAAAATCTCCTTGCCCTAATTTTCTAATAAATTGTAAACTATTTCTTGGTACTTCCCAAATATCCTTTGATATTGTACATGTAGTCAGTGTTGGTCGAGGACAAGCAATAGTTAACTGACAGCATAAACCATCGACATTTTCTGAAAAAAATAATACGATTAATCTGAATCACAAAGAAGACTATTACTAAGACTTTCGTACATCAAGAAAAGAACACAGTAGTTTGTGTTAGTTCATCCCTGTTTAAGAGAAAAGAAAGGCGATTGAACAAAATAATGAGAAGACTCTTTCATCCCTTAAAGAGTATATTTAGTATGTTAACAAGCTTTCTCAAGTTAATTCGATTCGTAAATTAGTATCGATATAAATAAACAAAAACTGTCGTAACATACCACTGTAATGTTGGACTAATTCCTCTAATGTTTTAAATACTCTTCTTGCTGCTATATAATAGCCCTGCTTTGCGTCTAATGAACGTATGTTATAGTGTTTCACATGCGCACCACGTTGATCATCTAAATCACGGACGCTCAATGAATAAGGCCCTTGAATGAAACGAAAATAAACTTGTACAAATATAATCGCAAATAACAAACAAGAAAGTTATTAATTGAAAATGATCGTATGTCTGTTGGTAGCTTTTCATCTGCATGCGTGTTTGAATTTAAATAATCAACTCAAAGACTTTCAGGAGGCGAGAACAAACAAAATGTGTGTACATACCTGTGTGTGCATACATTTTTTCTGAATTTCTAACTAGAAAACATCCTCGTGGATTAATTGGATTTAACAATAGTCGTTCGGCTTCTCTTCTAATCACATTATTGTGAAACCAACTAAGCACAAAGAAGAAACAAGTGCTGAGAAAAGAAAAAGAAGTCAAAGACAAGGACTTACACATTGACATCTAATCCACCGTACGGCGCTACACAAACAGCTGGAATATAACCTTTCAAACCCGTTTGGCAATGTTTTGCCGGCCATTGATCTTCTTGGCTAAACATGAAAATAAACACATAGAAACTCAAAAAGAAAACGTACTAATTCAATGCCGTACCTGTCATCGAACACAATAAGTATTTCTCCTACTCGAAACGTCAGCTTTACGTCCGTACGTGCATTGTAATCATAAATAGCTACGCAAGTTTTGCCTGAAAACACGGAAAACATTATCAGAAGGCGCAAACTACGTTTATAACTGAATTAATATGAACTCAACTATACTAACGCAGCAATTACATTGCCGCAAAACACCCTTTTTTCACCACAAATAGATATCCATGCACCTGCTATAGCCATTCACAACAACGTGTGAATTCGAAACAGACGCATAATCGTTTATCCAACAACAGAACAATAACGAATTTCAACAGATTCTAAAGATGTCATTCCCGCATGAATATTTGCGTTTGAATGCGTCCAGATGTTTCAGTCTAGACACGTTCATACGCGTTTTGAGATATGTATATATCTCTGTAAATAGTGCATTTTCACCATTATCTATAGAAAATATGAATATTGTTTTTGAAAGTATTTTTGTCGATTAAAGCTAAAAGAAAAAGAAAATTAGAACTTAACTGGCAATTAACTAACGGAAAAGTTCAACTTTTCATAAACGCCTAAACCTGTTTTGTTCAGGTACATTCCGTCTTGATGAAAATTTCAGACAATGTATATCTTGAGGTAACTTAGTGATTCTAGTAATTTAAGCCTCTTATCACTTGTATTCCCATATTCCCAGAGTTATCCTTAAATTAGTGATGAAATAGTATGGTCTTGTACTTTCAAGCTTCCGCCGTCATTGAAAAAGCTAGAAATTTCGGGTTGGTTTCAAAAAATAGATAAATGTTTTTTCTATGTTGTGACGTCGTTGGATTTTTCAATTTAACTTTAGTTCAGGAGAAATTCAAACGATTTGCGAAAAGCCAATAAAATTTCTCTAACTTTTCAGAAACTTTTTAAGTTTCTCCTGAACTAAAGTTAAATTGAAGAATCCAACGACGTCACGGCATAGAAAAAACATTAAGTGCTTGCAAAAAGAAAATATCAGTTCGGTTTGTTGGAAAAAGGGACGGATCTATCGGTCTATGTGACTTGTTTATCAGTTTAGCTCTTTATTTGAATGAAAAGCACAAAATATGCAATTTTTGTGTCTGCATTTCACGAAGAAAGTAGGCGTTTCGCACGTAAAAGTTCCGAGCCCGTGTATACTTCTAGAATTTCGAGGAGTGGTTATCTGGAAGAGCACGCCTTTATCTGCTGAAAACTATCAAACTTAACCTGGTTAACTTTTGCTTTGAAAGCGAAAATGAACAAAACAGTAAAACAGAGTAAATAACGTTAACGGCGCTTAGATTAAAGACGTGCCATAAGAGAGAATTGTATGATAGATATCATACATATATATGTTGTGGTCAAACTTGAAATTCGGTCAAATTTAAAATTTGCCCGGGCAGAACTGAAATTTCAATTTTGACCGGGCAGACTTAAAATTTTAGTTTTGACCGGAAATTCTTTGGTCAAAAC